GGATTTAAGATACGGGTCAATATCGAGATCACTACCAGGCGCAGGGGGCGCCGTACCCGATATACCTGAGTCCGACCGTGAATAGCTGCAGGTATGTGGTATAACAACACGCACCAGTCTGAGCGGAATCACCTCCTTTCGACGAATCTTCCCCGTTATCGACGCGGCTGGGCGCACTCTCCGGGTTGACTGGCGAGACAAGGTTGAAGGAATGAGCAGTGGCCGGAAAGCGATCGAGAAAGACTCACTCGCAGTTGCACCGGATGGCGGTCCTTCCCTGTTAGATGGTGCTGGCGTCGGGCTTCGAGATGGCTGGGGTGAAGGTGCCGGACTGGGTTTCGGAGTGCGGTGAAATGCTTTCTTGAGTTTTGAAGTGCCTTTGTGCGCTACGTCCTCGACTTTAAGCCATCCGGCCTTGAAACTGTCGCGGAACTTCGACTTTGGCTGCTCTGGGGGGTTGGACATGGACGTGGTGGAAAGCAAGGTGGAAAGGACGTTGCAACGTGCTCGACGCTCAGTTCGAAGGCCCATGTCACTCTGTGGCGCTTTGACACTATCTCGATCAATCATGCCCCATTGGCGGATCTCACACAGTGCTGAAGAACTCCCTTCGAATTCATTTCCGCCGTTTGGGCTCCTAAAATTAGCAGCGCGCCGGTGGATTGGAACCGTCCGGAGGAGTAAAAGTGCTCAATTCCGGAGTCTTCTGGCCTGCTAATATGTTATTGTACGTCAGAAAACAGACAGAAACATTACGAGAACTTGCTGTCAGTTGCTGAGTATTCAACACAAGTTCAACATGTACATTGACATCAGATACAAGCGCAGTAAAAGAAGAAGGGAGGGGCTCATTTGCCCGGAAATGACTTCAATTCCGTCCGCCGATTGGCAGGTTCGACGGCCAACAGGAAGTCATGTTGGTTGACAGCCATCTGGGAAGGTAAACGACCTGCCGCCAGGTGAGCGCTTGCAACTCGAGGCCTAGTTACGGCATGATACACAGTGGCTTCTTCGCGCAAGTCCACGGCGCAGACGAGCCGAGTCTGATGCTTAGGGAACACTGAGCAGGATACCAGAATCTGGAGTGGCGAGGGGAGCGGTGAATGTATGTACTAAGAGCGACGGATTTGCAGGCGCCATGTAGACTGCACCCGAAAGTTACGTTGGTAAGGATCAGAAATCGATACCTGAAAAAATCGATACCTGAAATAGCAGTCGTGCGGAGAAGGTTGTCAACTTTGCGCCCCAAAACCCACGCTTTGACCGTGCGGGAGTACTTAATATGGCCAATGCATAAACGACGCTAAGGAATGGAAAGCTAAGGATTGTAAAGATTGGTTCACAGATCAAGGCCGACTAAAGCCCAGCGAAGGGTTGATGCTCAATCTCGACAGTGTCGACTTTAGAGGTCTACGGGATCGCAGGCTGTCAATCAATCACATCAATCCACCTCATCTCCGACGCCATCGCGCTTCTGACTCTCCTTCAATCGCAACTAAGCAGTGGGCACGCATTCTCGTCTCTTCATCGACGGAGCCCAATTCAATTGACCTCTTGTCGAACGCACATGCCGCCTCGCCGTCCACCGCAGCACCTATCTCCGAGCTAGCCAAGTAGCATGTAGCATCCCGCTTGGATTGGGTTAGCGACGCCGATGATACAGGACGCATTTCCATAGCGCGCACGGTATACTAAGCGTGCATGCGCGCGACCTGCATAAACGGCTCCCCGTGCCCCCCATTGCCCCCGTCGCCGGCGCCCTTTTCTCCTTCTCGACTTCGTCTTTCGCGCCGCGGCCTTACAGGAGGCGCGCTCCTTCATGTGCACATCGATCCTCCTCCAGCTTCATTCCCGATGCGCGTGCGCTCCATTTACGCGCGCAGTTCTCTGCGCATCTGGACGTGCGACGGGATACGAGGGCGCTGCGGGGCGTGCATATACGGATCTTGATGAGGTGAGCTTTTTGGCTCGTCTTTTGCTTCCTTCTCCATTTGCGCAGGTCGCGATTTATTCCCTCCTTTATACATACACCCACCATCCACTATTCCTCGCCCTTTCCTCCTTGTACCCTCACGCACGCCCCCGCCCTTTTCTGCTCAAGTTCTCCCATTGCATCCGTCGCGCGCGTCCTCTTCCTTATGAGTCGCCGAGATCCTGTCTGTTGACTTTCCTCCATCCGCCTACCCTCCGCTCCGCCTTGCTCTTTCCTTCCATCCTCCTTCCCTCTCCTCTTCATTCTCTGCTTCCCAACGTGCACGACCCTAACACCTTCTCTTCACAGACCTTAGCCCGCCCGCTGGCCGTGCTCCCTTCGGGAGGACCGACCCTCTACCACCAACGCCACTTCTTCCTACGCACGCCCACCTTATTTCCCTCCATTGCTGATTACGTCTCCATGGCCTCTGCACCTCAACCCCGCCCGTTCTCATCTGCGTGGTTGACATTTCCCTCCGTCCAGCCCGCGTTCTCCCCGTCCTCGCTATCGTTCCTCCATCACCCTCCTTCCTTCCCCTCATAATCCCTCGTCCCTACCTCCATCCCTACCATCCGTCGCCTTTTCTGTCCGTCAGAATACTCTTATCCCTTCAGATGCCCTTCATTCGAGCGCCACTGTCATATATGCACCCTTCCATCCAGATTCCACCTATCGCCAATTCCGCCTCGCTCTTCCCTTGTCCTCTTCGGTCTCTATTTACCAGCATACACGGCGCTAACACCCTTTCATCGCAGACCCCAACCTGCCACGCTCCTTTGAAGGACCAGTCCTCCAACACTGCTCCAACACCACCTCTTCCTCCGTCACCACCACCCGCAACCAGCGCAGCACGAGAGTCGCGACGCTGCGCATGAAGGCGCGCCCAAAGCCCAAGCGCATCACTAGGAGCACTACAACGCGCGGCTGTCCTCGAGTGGCCAGTGGTGAGTGGCGACCTTCACCTCTCTTTTTTTCTAATGTGGGGATTAGGAATTTTTTGGGGTTCTCTCCTGCATGTTTCGGTACGGGCGGTTCTCTGAAGCGGGCCTTTATTTCCTTGTGTGGGAGGAATGTCGGTTTGCGGGATTGACACGGACGTCGTGCGCCGCGGTCCCGCGCTTGCAGCGTTGCGCCCATTGCTCCTTGTCATTATCCCTTTCTATTCTTCCATTCCGATACTTCTCTTCACGTATCGTTCATTCTACGTATGCACTTAATAATGAATCCTACCCATATTCTCGGGCGACTTAAGGCTCAACACCAAACCGGCTCGAGTTGCTCGAGTCGACTATGTTTTACTACTGTACTAATACATCGGGATTTAATAGCATTATGTTATATTTGCTCGACCCACTCGATCCAAACCCCCGCTTGATCTAACCCGGCACGCTCGAATCAAATTCACCGGTTCGAGTCCAAATCCACGCTCGAGCCAAATCTCCGCTCGAGCAAAGTCCCCGACCAAGCCGAATCTCCACTCAGCGGTCCGCTCAAACCAGATCCAGGTCCTGTGTTTGATCACTCGTTCGGATTAGATTTGCTGCCCAACGTCGGCTGTGGTTGCACTCCCCATCCGTGACGAAAAGGGTAACTCCTGCCCCGCACCCTCCCTCTGTGGTCTCGTCAGATCGCAAGACACTAGAACAAAGCCAAAATATTACCTCAAACCCAGTCAGCAGCGGCGCATTTACGCCATCCATCCAGCGATAAGGCTAGTTGTCTAGGATCCCGCCGGTGCGCAGCTATTCGGTGTAGAACGAGAGGCTGCGCGAAACGGTTTGAACTCGCATGCGTCAATCCTCACCTTCGTTGGGATTGCGGTGTATAGCGCGGAGTAAAATAAACTGAAAAAAGAGCTTGAGGAAGGCGCAATTGAACCCTACGTGCCCATGTTAGTAACGTAGATCTGAGTCGTCAAACAAAGAAACACACATGAGGGAAGAAAACCCGATGTCGCCGTTCGCCGGACCACGATACGTTGTTTGGGGGCAAGCTTGAAGGAATTTGTGGGCGACGGACGGTGTTGTCGGCGAGTGGACGACGAAAGAAAGTTGGAAGAACCCCGAACCCCACGAGACCGGCGGGGAGCGCCGGGGAAGAAGATTTTGATCAACCTGTGGCACCGAGCTCAGCGAAAGCAAGAGTTGAATAAAAGAAAGACGTACAAACAAAAAACCAGATGTTATCCGCTCGGCGGACGGCGATACATCGTCTTGGCGTCAAAGCTTGGTTGCGGGAGGCTTATCGGGGTGGAGGGCGGTCGGCGGATGCCCAAATCATTTCCAAACGGCGGCACTGGGGTGCCGGAGGTCGGAATTAAGCGGCGTCGATACGGAACGGCATTGCCGGAGTCGGCACGAGGCGCCGGAAGAAAACAAAAGCGGCACGAAAGAAGGGTTGCCGGATCTGGGGGGAAAATCTCAGTGTAGGTAAGAATGAAGGGGTAGAAGAGATTGGATGGACAGAGGCGCTCGCGGAAAGTCCAAATGATTCGGAAAGTTCGCTCCGCACTGCCGACGATGAGCGGTGGTGGGAGGTCGGCAGAACTTGTTAGGGTTTGTAGGCACGCGGCGCGCGGCGCCGCGAACGAAAGTTTTGATGGATCTGTGGCACAGAAGTGAGCGAAAAAGAGAGGGAAGGTGTGTCCTTTCTGGCACAACTTTCAACGAAACGGCGCTGAATTGGGAACTCGCATGGCCCGTGTTTCCGCGCAGTATGGCTCCACAGCGGGGTGGTTTATCGGTTGCGTTTAGGTTCTCCAAATGATTTGAACCCTTCTTAGATCCTTTTCATTTCAGGTCCCCGCATTTCACCTGTCGTCCAGTTTTTACGGTTGCATCGAATTTGCACGTAGAGAGGAATTCGAAGAGTATGTGCGAGAACATCCATTTCCGTTGACATCGCTGGCACTAGGTGAGTCTTTTCGGGATGGAAAGTCAGAGGCCACTGGAATATGGCTTCTCAACGTTTTAGTAAGTTAACATGAACAGGAAAGCAAAAAAACCGATGTCCGATGTCCGATTCATGCCGTCGGAGGGAATCGAACCCTCACTTCCATCTTGAACGCGTTTCTCCCTATGCGGAGATGGCGACCACCGTAATCTACGACGGCTCATGCATTCCAGAAATGTTTCGCTGGAGTGAGGGTGGGAGGGAACGATGGAGGGAACGAATACTCACCAATTGAAGTTCCTGATTCATGGCCAATCATGGTAAATGAGATGGTGGAGCGCACAACAGATATCAGGGAAAACCAGCCGCACGAGGATAAGAATACTTACGAAGAAACACCCACACAGTTGCATGCGTATCACAAGTCAGAAAAAAGACTACCTTTGGGCACCGCCGAGTCCGCCGAGTCCAGAATTCAGTAGGGTTAACCACTGCCTGTCGAATCTAATCTGCGGGCTACAATTTAATAGAGTGACGGTCGTGAACGAGGATCTTGATTCAAACTTCCCCTGCTTTGATTGAAGTCTTGGCCTTCGGGGAGGAGATTTCGGCGGGCGGCATCCAGGAAGAAACAGGTGGCGCGGCGGGCGGCATTCAAAGAGATGTGGCGACCGTCGGGCTCCTTTAACGCTACACTGAAAGTAGACCAATGCTTCAGTAGAGAAGCAAAGGAAAAAATACACGAGTACCTGGCAGGGACCAGGCTCCCATCGAACGGGCGAGCATGGGCACTGTATACATGCGTACGTCACTGATAGCAACATTATACTGGCCTGCATCTGGTCCTAGTTAGAAGAGTGAAAGAGTGAAGCAGATTCAGCAAGGATGGGCAAAAAATCTGCGTGAACACCAAGAGATCATCAGGGCAAGCAACGGAGTCGAAATTCTCACCGAGGCCTCGTACCGAGCTCCACTAGAGTCGTGCGCATCCAGGAAGGCTAAAGCATTTCAGTCTAAAATAAAACAAACACAGGGAATTCTTGAGCGACTGAGCCCGAGCCGAACGGGTGAGAACTCCATGCGCAGATGGTCTGGGGCTACGAACCGTTTCGTATTGAGTCCTGTGGTTGGAGTATGGTATAGTAAAGGATGTTGGTGTAGCTGAACCCGAAGTGGCTGAGCGGATGTTGGGTACGTGCCAAATTGACAGCCAAACCGTCGGTTTAGTTTCGGGCAGAAAAAAATCGTACCTGCATATGAAGCAGGCGGGCCGACACCACATGGCCGAGCCGGAAATTGCAGAGGAGTTTGCGCGCGCAAAATTGGAGCACGCTGCTGTGAACGAAGAAGCGTGCCGTCGACGCCGTCACGTCTGGACTCTGGAGGTGGTCATACGAGTGAGATCCGCGGGAAGAGAGCATTTGTACATGTTGGTGTTTCCTGCAAAGCACGATTGAATGAGCGTCAAAGAGTCAAGCGCGAGCGAGTTCGACGGGGACAACGAGAAGGTGGAAGGCAAGCCACGAGGTCAATGGGGCAGTGTTGATTCCACGGGCATCACCATGGCACCTCGGCCCGCTATCCGCCTCTTGTTCCGCAACCTCCATCTCAATTTCTGCGGGTCCCTTCCACGTTCAAGTTGGCCTTTTGAATGCCGCTAGCGCTCTGGCCGCTTATGGATTTAAAGTTATTATTCGACTTCACCCATCTCACCTCGCTGGAGCTGTATCCGACGTGCTTTCACTGGCCAACGCAGGCGCATCTGGAGCGCCTATCCTTTCGCGTGCGATCCCGCAATCAGCCAGCTCGCGCGACGCTCACGAGTCCCCTCTACCTCGGAGAAAACTGCCCCAAGTTACTGATGCTCGAGATGATGGTGGACGCATCGACGGTGCCGCTCATCGAGCGTAGCGCGGACCCGGCGTGCTGCAGGACGCGCACAGCGAGTGGACGATTGGGCTCTCGTTGATCGCATCGCCGCTGCAATTCGCGCGCTTCTTGTCGGCGATCTTCCCTGAGTTGGAGGACATCAACTATGAGGCGGAGCATTCGGATGGTGAGGATGGAAGTGAGGAGGCGTGGTCTATGTGGGAACATGTTCCTCCCGAAATGTCGTGCGATTCGACAGGAGGTGCGATTTTGGGGGTGGCAAAGCTACGCAAGGAGTCGCGCGGAATCGCTGGAGGTTTGAGATTCAGGTGAGTAATTCGGTGCAGGTTGAAGGCGGGCTTATTTATCGGTGTGGGCCTCAAATCAATCTTGACGTGCTACGGCCGTGCGTAGCTCATCCCATGGACGCAAATTGCTATATCCTTGTACCTCTGGCGAGTTCCTAAATCCTACGCGTTGTTTCGCCTCGAACGGTTTGCGGCGGCATGATGAGCGAAGTAACCAGTGCTTGTGACAACCCTATTTGACCCAGTGGGTCCTTGTGCGCTTCAACCGTTTCGTTGATGTCGCGGGAAGAGAGCAAGATGATTGTGAATGCCCCAGATGACCGGAAATGTCGCAGAGCAACTGCTCGGCCCCGAGCCTTTCTGGTGCGACTCATACACCTGGTTGAAGCAGTCTGACTATCTACTTCGTCTTCGATACTCGTCTGGGTGGACCGCTCCGTGGACGAACGACGCAACGAAAAACGCCGGACTAGTTCGGGACATTCCTTTGCCCCCAGTACGGCTATCTTCATGCATACCTCCACCTCGTTCTGCTGATACATGTTTCAGGCGCCGCAGATCATAAATGCCACCGGAATTGCTGACGGTGCGTATGCCATCCTCAAGCGCTCGGAGCGCTCGGACGCTGCGCTATCCCAAGAGGTGTATATGTTTCGAGAGCTTTCTCCTGAGCCACTAGCCTCGGACGTTTTTGCATGTTCCAGATGGAATTCACAAAGAACCTGGATCTCATCGTGATGCCGCTGCTGTTCCGCTCGACAAGCACTCGTTCTTGACGATCGGCGAGGTACTAGGGGTCTTTACCGCCGCGTTCAAGGTCAGCACATATTCCCTCCTCTGCACATCATAAATCAGTGTTTCCCACATGGTCCGAAGCTCACGCATAACCATAACATATGACAAGGGTGCGCTATAATGAACCCTCTCTGCTGTTTTCTCTTCTTCCGAATTCCCGCCAGCGATTGCAAGTTCGATAATCTCCTCATGGATGCGTCACCTATTCCACGACCAGCCCGGAATCGCACCAAACACGCGATCAAGTACTACTGAATCGATTTGACGTGTACGATCCTTCCAGCGGCCTCGGCCCCAACTCAAGGATCCGTGTTATGACGGGAATCGACATGTGCCCGAGTGGGTGTTTCCAGAACGATAATGCAACCCATTCGCGGTCGACGTTTGATGTCTGGCCTACCTGATTCGTGAACATTTCACCGAAATATGTCCTGTTCGTTCTGCCGCGGTTCGTGGCGTTCACTGATCATTTCCTCAGCAGGGAATCCATTTATTTACTTCTCACGTTCCGGGTCTTGAATTATGGAGGGGCTTTTGGCAGACATGTCGGAAGAAGACCCAGCGAAGTTCCTCAGTTCGATGAGATCAAGGCGGGGTTGAGCGAGCGGAAACTGCGCCCCCGGTTTACGTGGGACCCGGAGAAGAAGTCCCTCGGGGGGGAAGCGCTTGATGTTTCTCGGTGCGCCAGATTCCTGCGATACCCTCCGATTAACGTCGCAATATTCTTCCCGATCCGCGTTACCATTTCTGTCCAGTTGTCTCCAAGGAACTCGTTCCGCAGCTTAGTTTTGGCATTTTTCAGTTCATTTGAATTTAAATTTAATGAGATCGGGCAGGAAAGCGAAGAGGTTCAAAAAGTTGTTGAAAGCAAACCGTGGGCGACACATTCACATTCACATGAGGTGGCTGTGAACCGTGCATCTAGGAACAGTTAGTGGTTTTGGAAGATGCTTTCGAGTGACAGCGTTGGCTGAGGTGACACTCGCGGATCGTTCCATTTCTGCGAGTGAGTGTCAATGGAAATAAACTCGCAGGAAAAAAACTAGAAACACACGCCATTTTTTCTCAAGCCGCTACAGAAAGTCATGCGCAACTAGTTAGTACTGAGGCAGAACAAAAGACTTGCTCGCGCCCGCGTGGCGCTACGCGGAATCGAACTGGTGGGCAAGCTCAGTCTGAACTCGTTCAGACAACGCGCAAGCTTGCCCCGCGCTCCGCAGCGCGGTTGTTGTTCCAATCCTACGCGCGCTAGGCTATCGGCGAGAAATAAACCTTGCAATGCACCGGATAGAAATTCAGAGAATACTGTGAATTAGTGGAAATGAAAACAGACGTTCCCAGCCGCCATTTTCTTTTTTCAATCTGCTACAGAGAGTCATGCGCACCTGTAGACTCGCGACCAGTCGGCTTTAGTAAGCAACTTTTTTGATCACGAGACAAGCAGAGGGATCAAAAAAGCTTCCTAAAGCGACTGGTACATCTGGGCGTGATTTTGGCTGGGCCCGCCAAATGTGTGCCCGGACTTGGTCCTGGAGAGTAGTACATGTCAGAAAAAAGTGTAAAATGTTCCTGCAGGAAAGTTGGATGAATCCAAATTCCAAGTTGAATGAGCCTAGCTTTTTTTTGGACTTTGGGTGAAGGTCGTCGATGTCGTCTGTGCACGGACCCATCAACGGTGTTGGGCACTTAGGTGTAATACCTGAAAAAAAGTATGTCTCATTCGGTTTGCATTTACAAAATACGCAACTTTGCCTATACAACTTTTTACACTTTTTTTCGACGTTGGGCGACCCCAATGAGCACGAAAACTCAAGTCCGGGCACACATTTGGCGGGCCCAGCCAAAAGTGTGACCAAAGATCCCAGCCGCTTCGCAACCGTGATCAGCGCAGCCACGTGAGGCGAAGCGGATGGTCACGAGCCTAGCGCACCTGAGGCAAAAAAAAAAAAAAAGTACACAAAAAGGACTTTCCAACACCCGCATGGCGCTACGCGGAATCGAACCCCGTGCCGCCGGTGGGTAGCTCAGTCTGAACTCGTTCAGACAACGAGCAAGCTTGCCCAGCGCTCTGCAGCGCAGTGATTGTTCCAGTCCTTCGCGCGCTGGATGAATGAGCAGTGAGACGACCGAATATAAATGCAATCAGGGAAGACTTGCCATAACCTTGCAACTGCATGCGCGGGATGGCAAGTTCGAGACTACTGGAATATGGCTTCTCAGCGACTTCATTCACGCGCACAGTTTTCTG